AAATTTGCATACTAATAGTACAGCTGGGCGACCTGTCCTCAACCTAAGCCCTAACTGGCTCTTTGTTTAAAACAATGGCATCTGAAGTGGTATACACTGCAGGTGACTAATTACCGATACTAGATTATAATGTGACACAATGACTATTGCACCGTTTCAAATTAGATACGGTAAGGACAGTTTAAACTGCAGTTGTCAGCGCAAATGCAATATTTTTGTCAAATCGGTTTGAGCGTGTTTCTAGTAAAAAAAACCAAGAGCTAATGTCGACTCTTCAATCCGTATTGGTGAATGTTCTCAATAAATGCTGAACACGCTGGGCCCGAAAGAAATAATCGTTGATTGATTGACTGGTTGGATTTGTTGCCCTGAGAGTATTCGGGTGCCTATGCCCATCAAAGGGTAAATGCATGAAGTGACTAACTTGTGGGACCATAGCTGTTCTTTCTTTAGTAGTCTTTGTGATGGCATTTTAGTCATTTCCGACTAAACATGTTCACTCGAACATTGTTATGCTGATGTTTGATTTTCGAACCCGACGAAGGCGTATGCGATTTTGGTAATTCTAGCCGTTTATAAGAATTTTTTTTTTTATGTTCCGTAGCACAAGTGGAGTGGCTATGGTCGAGTTATCCGTCAATACCACCAAGTGCTTTCCTTTGTTTATATTTCGTCGCCTGGCAACCGATAGGACGGTCAGCATGAAGTAGCAAGTAACGCTAACGTTCACTTTAGTAACCGCGTTATTCCGCAATGAAATTATTTCTTTGTAAATTATAATTATTTCACTTATTTCTTTGAGTTTACAAAAAGATCATTCTAAGCTATCAATAACATATTGAAAACCTGTTTAAAAATAAGAAGAAATCAATACAAGAATCCTCTAATAACAAAAACACGCCAAGATTACGGGTGGGAATAGTCTTATAGCGTGTTCACTACCATATGGTGACAAAGAAACTTTCGATGTTCTAACCGCAAGAACCTCCGGGAAGGAGAATGAGCTTACCCTAAACAAATACTCATGGCTGGTGTGTAACAAGAAATCGTACGATTTTACTTATTTATAATCGTGTAATACATTTCCTTGTTTTCTTTTAGATGTGACTCACAATAAATATGTTTTAAACGTATCTTCCAATGTGACTGTTCTACAAACATTACCAGATATGTACGCTATAACAACATGTTTCTGGGTGAAGTCTTCGGCGACGAATGAGGGGACACCAGTGTCGTATTCCATTGAAAGTCAATTCAACGAATTCATTATTTTCAACTATAATAGTGTTAGACCACTCGTCGCAGGCAATTACGTTCAAACAGCAGTAGACCTCAGTGACGGTCTCTGGCACCACGCATGCGTGACTTGGACTTCAGTAAACGGGCATTGGCAGATTTATAAAGACGGTATTCTTGCAGCTGATGGGACTGGTCTGTCAACTGGTTCCCACATTCATGGAGGAGGGGTATTGATTCTTGGTCAAGAGCAGGATTCGCTGGGAGGAGGTTTCGACGTAACCCAGGCATTTGTTGGCGAATTATCCCTTTTCAATCTTTGGGACCGTGTCTTGACGTCAGATGAGATTGGCGCCAATTTTGCAGACTGCATTGGTGCTGGCAATGTGTATTCATGGGATAGCAACGCAATATCAGCAGTATCAATGACTATTGTACCGTTTCAAAGTGTATGCAGTAAAGGTAATACCGTAAGCTTCTAACCCGAGTAAAACTAATCGTTCTTTCTAATTAGTCATGATTTAACTAAGCTACAGTAGTTGCAGCATGCAGTTCACGGCATGCAATCCAAATCCCACAATAATATGCGTTTCTATAGTAACATGATTCGAAATAACTTGTTATTGTACTTAATAATATAATTATAAAACAATCTCAATGTTTTGACATACGTACACCCACATTCTGATAATTTACTGAAACTAGGTCAGAATCCTAGAATTTCACAAAAATAGCATAAAAGAGGATGTACTCCACGCCATTCCGGCGTAGATTTTTTTACCCCTGAACAAATAAAAATAGAGACACTCAAAAAGTGTAATACCAAGAAAAAATCTTAGAAGAATATTGTTATTTTAATGGATTTTTTTTAATTCGAGTTGTTTGTTCACATTGCGATTACACAATATAATACACGTTCTACATTATCTTATTTGAATAAAATGAAGGGTCCAAGTTATGTAGTTTGACTCATTTTCAAGTAAACGTCTTCAAACATTATCACCGTTTATCTTGCTTTAGAATTTGATGACAGTTTAAGACAAAACTGTGTAGAGATTATGGACATTTTTGGAAATTGGAATGACGAGAGATGTAATAACGAATATAGATTTATTTGTAAAACCCATAAAGGTAAGACATTTACAAAGTGTCCTCTCAGTTTCTGAATCGATATTTCAAAATGAATGTTTTCAAAGCAAGGTTAATAAGATGTTATGTATAGATAGTCCATCAGCGTAATATTATACGTCAGCAAAAGCACGTTTACGTATGATGTTAACAATCAATGACGTAATTACTTCTTTTTTTTAGTACCACGTGATTGCATGGGTGTTATCAATCTCGGTTATAATTACAGTGGCGTTTACAGGATTGATCCTGACGGTAAGGAATTGTTAGTTTTCAGAAATGGAATAGCTACAATGTTGCTGAATTGTCTATATACATGTCTTTGGCGCAAATACACTAGTAGTGAAAGTGAAAGAGGTTTCAAGATGGTCTGTCTCAGCAATTCGCGCCATGTTCAAATGCGTGACGACGAAACGCAGGTTTAATCGAGACATTTAAAATCATCTACCCGCATGATGTCCAATACTGTTCATATATTGTTCATCACATATTCTCAACACTTCTCAATCACACATCTCTAATGAAAGCCGGAAGTAGACATATTGAATTCGAAGACGACGAAGTTTTACGATTCAAACATGACGTTGCGCACATGGCATTTAGATATCATATGCATATATATTATTATTATCGATAATTTAGACAGATTATCGCCTTAAGATTTCTTCTTTTGTAGCACATGCTGACACATTTTAGTTTTTTCTATGACAGGTCATGGGTCATTTGACGTATACTGTGATATGGAGACTGATGGTGGTGGATACACTGTTTTCCAGCGTCGTACAGACGGATCTGTAGCATTCTTCCGCGACTGGAAAGATTATACATTAGGTTTTGGAGACCTCAACGACGAATTTTGGCTGGGTAATGATAAATTAAATCGGCTAACTAGAGGGCGCCATCAAGAAATTCGTATTGATTTGAAAAATGTAATTGGGGTAACTGATTTCGCAGTGTATGATTATTTCTCAATTGGTCATGAAAATGATTTTTATAGGCTACGGTTGGGCTCCAAAATAAGCGGTGGTTTGCCGGATAGTTTATCTCACCATCTGAATATGAGATTTAGCACAAAAGATAGAGACAATACCGCGAATAATGAAAATTGCGCCCTCAATCAGCATAGTGGCTGGTGGTACAACCAGTGTCAATATTCCGATTTAAACAGAGAGTATGCAGATGATTTCGGAATAAGCTGGTATGATTGGTCCAATCCGAGAATTATTGAAAGTGAAATGAAAATACGTTAGAATAGAAATACTATAAATCGTATATTATTGTGACACATTGGTAATGAGCATAATCGTTCTCATAACCCAATATATATGCAGAGCAAGTAATGAAATACTCTTAATATTCGCAATATTTGTCAATCTTTGACCCACTTGATTTACTATTGACCATGAATAAATTAATCACTATGCATATATCAAGCCTAATTATATTCCGCTTTTTATACAAATTTTGTAATTTTGAGTAGTTGTTCGATATGGCATGTTGTTGTACGCACTTCATGTATGTATTAAACTTGCCCATAAAATAACTATCTTTTGATGCATGCGTTTTGACTCAGTAATGTGTATTAATAATATCATAAGATAACTACTATTTTATGCAATTCGCGACTTTTTTTACAATTTTATAGACTGATCAATGTTTTAAATGTGAAGAGAAATTGCAGTTTAACAACACTCACAGTACTGTAATATTCCTTAAATAAAGTAACTATTTATGCAAATGAACTTTAGTCAGAATTCATGGCGCAAATTTCATTAAATTTGCCATGTAATATACATATTTCAGACCACAGTTTCATTTTGATGTAACATTACGGGATATGTTTTCGAGCCAAAAGAAATAAAGAACATAATGAACATTATTATTTAAAATTGGTGATAAGGTAAGATTAACTTATTGCTAATATTTATTAAATTATTGTAGATTAAATTGTCTATATTTTTTTACACGGGTCAAATTAACGTAATGTTTCAAGCACGGGTTTACCCTGGGTAAGCCTCTTACATGGGGGTATAGTTTGGGTATTTTAAAATGTATAAGGTGTCGTAAACTATTGCATGTGAAACAGTTCGTAATTTTTGTCAGATTGCGTTAGTTATACATATGCCAATTTTAGGAACAATAGTTATTATGCTTGTGTCAGAATTGGATGGGAATGGACCAATTTTTGAAGCCGAGAACCAGAATGTATTTGCGCTAATCTGTAATATATTTTTGCTCATACAATTTGTTATAATGTACTGGCACATAAGTAGTTCTGGTCACAGGAAAGGATAATATAATTAAAATGGATAAAAGCGAGATATCCGAAAAATAGGGCGAAAAAGACCTGGTCACGTACATCAATTAGTTTGACCGAAAAATATAATATATCTATTATAACTTAAGAAAATGTGCTTTACAAATTAGTCACATCGACCCCAGACACCCGTTCACTTTTCACGTATAAAGTGATAGGAACTTTCAGACGTGAACGTATACACCTGTCCCGCTAACACGACTTAATGAATCGCAAACTATGCTATACTACGGTCGGAGCAGGACGGTGATTGTGACTCTTGAATGTCAATTGGTGCCCTTCGTGGTCTCATTAGACGCATAGCACCCGGGCTCCTGCAGCCAGATGTGTCAGCCCCATCATGGTGGTTTGTCGCAAGATATTTTTTATGTAAATCTCAATTCACATCAGTCGTCATAATAAATGTGATTTCTACTCGTAAAAAAGCCCGCCACACTGTCTGTCTGTCTGTCACTCTTTTTTACTTTAATGCTTTCAGACTTTATTTCTTTCTTTCGTTCACACTTTCTTATTCCATAGGGTTACCTCTTTAACTCAAACGTTCTCTGACCCATGGATGTTTTCCATTTATTAATAAATTATTTATAAGAGGAACGTGTACTATACTAGTGCGTTTTGGGGATAGGACTGAGCCATTGGTTGTCATATACATTACGATACCTAGAAAATATGAAATTCTGAAATCTATAGGCAAGATACTATGTTTTTTGAACAGCTCAAACGACGAGTGTGTCAGAGGAAATCACCAAAACTGCCCTTTTCTGGAGCTTATGAACCCGACATAAATTCGGTTGTATTGTATTACCCCATACTATACAGAAATAGTCCAATAACGACTGAGTTTAATCTATTACCACCCGGGCTACTTTTCGAAACTGACTGTGTAATTATTTCACCATTGAAGTTAACCAGAAAATCTTCACCAACATTATTTAGCCTTTGACGGTAGCACAGATTGTGATTTAGATGTGTTGATTGACATGTAATTGCAAATAACCCAACGCAGATTTGGCCAAATATCATCATTAAAGCACTTTCTGACTATATGCATATTTGGTTCAGACGATAAAAGAATTTGATCGTCCGCATACATATCAATGGAACAATTTTTAAGAAATAATGGTAGGTCATTAATAAATATTTCGGAAAAGTTACAGCAATTTGAATTAATATTGGTTTGTAGTGTCGCAATTTGTTCACTGAATAATGAATAACTAACCACTTTTTTCAGTTCGTGGTTCTGTTAATATATAGTTTTTTATTTTCCCCTTGCAAAAAGAACCAGTGTGACTGCTCTGGCCTTGCTCGGTACTGTAATTCCTTCAATTCCACTTGGCTGTAAAGTGCCAAAATTGAAACCCGCCCAGTCTCTTTCAAAGACTGTATTTAAAAGATGTCAATATTAATGGTTTTCTGCCAATACCGCACGATGGTCAGGTTTACAATATTGATGTCTCTACGGATGAGTTTATTTGTCCACAGTCAAATGATACACAAAACGGTGATCGTGTGACAAATGTGAGGAACACAGAACCAATCACTATCAGTGAGCAAATAATAACGTAAATAACAATGATAAGAATGATAACAATGTAACACATGTCATTGATGAAAAGGTGAATATGCAGAATACATAGAAACATAGAAAAGCGGTACTCAAGAAATGCAAACTGAAACTGAAAAAAACAAACACGAAATGTGGAGAAAAAAAGTGTGATGGAAAGTGAAAAAGTGAGAAATGCAAATAAAAAACGTGCTCGTTCTGAATCACCGTTTAATCGGAAAAAAATAAATAAATAAATAAAATGGGAGAAAATCAAACGGAAACTAAAAAGGCTAACTTTACATCGAAACAATATTAATACAAAAATCATGAATAACTGAACCATGGCAAGGGACATCTACAAGGCTTGCACATGCGTAGTTGTCTGAAATACACAATGAGGCACAATCCATTTCAGACCACTTTCTAGTGCGTCAAACTAACTGGCAACATAAAACAAAACAATCCTTTCTGGTGTGATTGAAGACGCTGAATATATGTATTTCATTATTAATTGGTAATCAAAGCAAAACATGTGTATGAACACCACTGACAGAAGTCACGTTACCTATATAGGATCAAGTTATACCATGTGTAACACATGGTGATATATCATAAGTGTAATGACTATGAAACATATCAGTATACATCTCCCATTAGGGATTGGTCAGTTACTTCGGCCTAGGGGGGGGGGTCGGGGGATCGGTAGGGGGAGAGGGGTTACCCTGTTTTTGATTGTGCCAATAGGGGGTGTCACCCTGTTTTTGATATCATGTTTTCCATA